CTCGCACCCCCCCTCCCCCACCCCCTCACCCATCTCCTCCGCGGACCGGTAGCTCTTCGAGGGCATGAAGGCTTACAAGGACAAGGAGGGCCGCGTGCGCCTCTTCCGCCCGATGATGAACATCGAGCGCATGCAGAAGTCCGCCGAGCGCATTGCCCTGCCCAACTTCGACAAGGACGAGATGCTCAAGTGCATCAAGGAGTTCGTCAAGGTCGAGAGCAACTGGATCCCCTCCGAGCGCGGCTACTCCCTCTACCTGCGCCCCACCATGATCGGTACCCAGGCCTCCCTCGGTGTTGGTAGCTCTTCCAACGCCAAGGTCTTCCTGATCGCCTCCCCGGTCGGCCCCTACTACCGCACCGGCTTCTCGGCTGTCAAGCTCTTCGCCGACCCGACCGCCGTCCGCGCCTGGCCCGGTGGCTCCGGTGACTCGAAGCTCGGTGGGTGCGTGTGCCATCCTCTCCCCGTTGCGCGTGCGCGCGCGCGCGCGTTCCCCTCCTCCGCGCCCTCCCGCCCGCCTCCATGTTCAGCTTCCCACTCAGTCGCACGCACACACACGCACGCACGCACGCACGCACCCTGCCCATGCGCTGACCATCCCGTCCGTCTGCTTGTGTCCTTCCCTCTGCAGCAACTACGCCCCGGGCATCCGCACCCAGCTCGACGCTGCTGCCAAGGGCTACGCCCAGGTTCTGTGGCTCTTCGGCCCGGAGCACTACGTCACCGAGGTCGGCACCATGAACTGCTTCATGCTCTGGAAGAACGAGGATGGCGGTACGCACACGCACACGCACACGCACACGCACACGCATGCGAGTCCTGGCGCCTTCATGCATTGGCATGCCACACGGCCCTCGTCACTCGCGCCCCAGCCCTGCCCTCGTCATTCCCGCTTCGCCCACGCTCCTCCCCCTGCCTCTGGCGCGCGCCCGTGTCACTCACTCCCCCCCCCCACAAGGGGCATGCGGATGCGGCGCGCGGCCTTCTCAGCACGAAGAGAGGGCCGCCCGTTCCCCCCCCCCCCGCGCCCCTCTCCGGCGGCCGCCCCACGGGCAGGCAGGGTCCCGCCGCGCGCCCTGAGGGGCATCAGTGTTTGGACACCCCCCCCCTCCCCCGTTCCGGCCCACGGTGCGGAAAACAATAACAGCCTCAGGCAGCGCGGAGGCCGCGCGCTGGCCATGCCCCCCCCCCCCCCCCGGCATCCCGCCCGCACTGAGCCAGGGAGGCCCGCCGCCCGGGCAGGCGCGGCGTGCGATCCGCCCTGGCCTCGCGCTCGTACCCGGAACGGGCGGGCGCAGAGACAGGTCCCGGCCCCCTCCCCCTGCCTGGCAGGGTACCAAAGCAGTTTGAAACGCGGTCGCCCTGTCCTCGGCCGTGCCCGCCGCGGCACATGTTCGCGACCATGTCCGCGGGGCGCTCGAGCGGCGCTGGGGCGGGCGCAGGAAACGCCACCCACTTGCCGGTCCCCCCCCCCGCCCCCTGCCCGTCACAAATGGGCACCAGCCCCGGGCACCCTGCTCTTGTCGGACAAAATGCCATTCACCGACGCCCGCCCCGTGAGCCGGGCACGCGACCCGGCCTAACACGCGACCGCCCGACCGAGCTCCTCGCCGGCGCCGGTAGCCCTCGGTAGGAGCTCATGCCACTTCTCAGGACGCCGTTCGGACATCCCCGGCCCGGGCCGACGAGTTCGAAAGGCGCGTCCAAATTGGGGAATTTTCGCCGCGGCCGCGCGCCGGCAAAGATAAATCTCGCCCCCCCCCCCCCACCTGGTCCCCAGGAAGGATGCCGCGGCCGCCGAAGAAGGTTGTGCCGGGCTCCGTGTGCCCCCGCCCCCCAGCCTCGTCTGGGCCCTGTGCGCTGGCCGGGAGAAGCGCTCGAGGGCGGCGCACACCATCATGGCATACACACGAGACGGAGCGAGCGGCACCGTCGCGGCTGCCCCGCCCGGCGCCCTGCTGCCAGGCACCCGCCTCAGCGGGGCCGGGTCCTCGGAGAAATGATGACAACCGCCCAGCTGCCCCGGGCGGCGTGCGGCCCGGGGGGGGGGGGGGGGGG